CCGCCTTTCAATTAACCCCACATGTGTTTATCGGCCTGGTTGGCACAATAAATGAACTCAGAAGCGAATTAGACTCGGTACCGCTCAGTGGATTTGAACTGTCAACCTTTCAGCTAGCACTCAAGTGCTCAATCATAAGTGCCCTGCAGAGATTCCTCCTCATTGACACAATGCGGAGTTTGACTTGCAGTGGTCCTGTGGGACAGCAGGACTGTCCCATCTTTCTCCTGCAGAGGCCGGTGGGTGCAAACCACCAACCCTGTGGCTAGCAGCCTCTCCTTAACCACTGTACCTCCAGGACTGCTGAGCGTAACTGTCGTCCCTCGGGATCCTGCCGACATGAAGCCTGACTCTGCCTTGTCCGGCGCAGTCCTCCTAGTCATTCCTGTGTGAGTCCCTTGCTGCGGCCACGGTCCCACATCATTTCCTTGAGGGTCATCTTTGTCACTGACCCTCCACTTTACCAAGCAGGACGGCCCTCTTCAGGGACAGGTCCCTCCTGGGTGTGTCTGTGGAGACTAGCAACACCTCGACAGCAGGCACTTCCCAAAGGACCAGTGTCCCCTCGGCTGCCCACCCGCCTTTCCTTTCACTCGGAAAGGTTTTCTCTTTCTTAATGACAAGGCTTTTAGCTGGACTGTGTGTCCAGTTGCTCCCGAGACCTGGCTGCTAGCTAATAGTCGGCCTTGGACCAGTTTCCCCATCCACCAAAATCACATGGTATCTAAATATGACTCTTAGCTATTTCCAAAGGAGCCCTGGTGGCGCAGTGGTCAGACACCCAGCTGCTAACTGAAAGGCTGGCAGTTCGGACGCAGCAAGCTGCTCCACAGGATCAAGATGTGGGTGGCAGTCTTCTTCCCTAAAGATTCCAGCCTTGGAAACCCCATGGGGCAGTTCGGTGCTGTCACATGGGGCCACTGTGAGTTGAAATCAACTCGGCCACAATGGGTAGTAGTAGTGGTGGTGGTAGCTACCACTACTGTCCACAACCTGGTCCTTTCTTTGACTGACTTCACACGAATCCTGTGGTTGGTTCCTTTAACCTCTGTCCATCAGTTTCCATGTTGACGGTGGCATTCCACCAGGTGCCACGTCTGCATGGTTGTTAGTTGCCGTCTGGTTGGCGCCTACTCATGGGACCTTAATATATAATAGGATGAAGTGCTGCCCATTTTTGCCCAGCCATCTTCACGGTGATGGGTAAAGTTCTCTTCCTTCGAGTGCAAGGTTTCCCAGCTTTGGCACGGTTGACATTCTGGGCTGAGGAATTCTTTGTTGGAAGGCTGCCCTTGCACTCGTTAGCAGTATCTCTGGCTTCTAGCCATTAGATGCCAGTTGCACTAGCCTTCTCTCTCCTTGGTTAAAATAAAGTTCTCAGACTTTGCCAAATGCCTCATGGGGAAAAATAATCTTCTCGGGTTACAACTCACTAGTGAAACGTGAAGTGAGACCGAGTATAAGCTGACCCGAAATTTTAATTTGGGGACAGCTTATACTTGAGTATATATGGTACTTACATTTATAGGTTTCTACCAAGGACAATATACAAGGAGCTTTGAATGAGGAGCTAAGGACTAAGCATTCCAGAAAGTGCTAGCTGGATCCGTAGGAGCTGATGAATGAGGTCGGGTGGAGAGTATGGCATTAGAGGAATGTATGGATGCATGGAAGAGAAATGGAAGAAGAGGCGTGACAGGCAGTTTTAAATTATGGAAAGGGGCTGTGATAAAATACCACAAGGGGGTGGGTTGAACATAGAACTGTATTTTCTCACTTTGCCGGCAGGTGCCACCCGGTTGGTTCTGACGCAGAGCAACCCTGGGTCTGACAATGAAACACTGCCCGGTCCTGCAGCAACCTCACACGTGTTGATGTATCCAGCCCCCGTACAGCCGCTGTGTCAGTCTGCATCTTGTTGGGATGGGGGCTGGGGGTCTTCACTTTTGCCACTGACCTCCACTATCAAACATGCTGTCCTTCTCTTCTGATGTCCAAAGTAGGTGAGGTGAGCTCTCACCGTCTTTGCATCTGAGCAGCTGTCTGTCTTTACTTCTTCCAAGACAATTCCGTTGTGTATTCAATGTTCTGCCAACACCGTAATCCAGATGCATAAATCTCCTTAGTGATTTCCCAGCATGCACCTCCATGAAAGGCAGATAAGGCGACTGAAAGCCTGGGTCAGGTGCAACTTAGCCTTCAGAGTGACGTCATTGCATTTAACGTTGAGACCAGTCTTTCACAGTAGCTTTGCCCAAGGCAATGCCTCGCTTGGCTTATTGACTTCCTGAGTTGCTCTCGTGAGTGTCGATTGTGCCATCGAGTGAATGAAATCGTCACAGCCTCTCTTTGCTCTGAGCGGCGTGATGTAACTTGTTAGTCCAGTTGTCAGGCGGGGTTCACTAGAGAAACAGATCCAGTGGTACGAATATATGTGTAAGAAAGAGCTTTATATCCAGAAAACATCCCAGCCCAGTCCAGATCAAGTCCATAAGTCCAACACCAGTCCATAGTTTGGAACTAGTCCGTAAGTCTATCTTCAGAGTCACACCGCCACGTGCAGTGATGCGGACTGCAGGGAGACCGCAGGCCGGGGAGCAAAGTTGTGTGGGTCTAATGACAGTGTCTCTGGAGGCTCTCCCGAGTGATTCGACAGCAGAGAGGGGGAGGTTCCCAGGACCCTCGTGAGGAGGTCACACCCACAAGGAGGCACCATCAGGCTGTGACCTGATTGACAGGCTATAGACTCCACCACTACACTTCAAGTTACACAAAAATTACTACCATACGTAGTGAGAAGTTCCCTTTTCCATTGAAGAATGCTCAAAGGCTCCCTGCAGTCTGCTTTTCATCAGTAAGTGCTCTTCGCTGTGAGGTCGCAAAGTTGCACACTGCTTGTTGTCATCTGCAGCTTGCAGGTGGTTGAACCATTCTTCTTCGTGCGTCCAGCTTCTGGAATTACGTGTTCCCCACACAGACTGAATAAGTGTGATGAAGGGATACAGCCCGAATGCCCACCTCTTCTGATGTTAAACCATGCAGTGTTCCTTTGCTCTTGGTCTAAGCGCAGGCTTTGGTCGAGCACATTAAGTGTTGTGGAATTCCCATTCTTCGAGATGCTATCCATAATTTCACAGGGACCCCACAATCAAAGACCTTTGCATAGTCAGTAAAATTCAGATACACATATTTCTGGTATTCCCCGCTTTCAGCCAAGACCGACGGCAGCGAGACCCCTCATTCCACACCCTCTTCGTTCACCCTCTTCGTTCACCCTCTTCATTCACCCTCTTCATTCACCCCCTTCATTCACCCCCTTCATTCACCCCCTTCATTCACCCCCTTCATTCACCCTCTTCCACTTTGAGTTTCTGGCAGACCATGTCTGTGCTGCGTTAGTCACTTTAACATTTTTCCCCCCCGCAAAAGGTTGCTTTTGTGTGTGACAAGGATGGTACCAAGAGTGTCCAGATGCTGTTGTAATGGGAACCACATACCTATCTCTTTCTTGGTTGGCCGGGTAGCTCTCTTGCAAGTCTCTTGGCATCCACAAATGAATGTTTCCAGCTTTGCACCTGTTTGCTGAACTCTCTCAGTTGGTATTCTGTCAATTCCTGAAGCCTTGCCCTTCACCAGTGCCCTCAGTGCAGCCTGGCTAAAATGGTTGGGTGTTGACGGATTCTTTGGTTCAGGGATGCCATCTTCTTTGGATGCTTTCGGAGTCATTCAGGATTTTGCCCATAGTATCATTCAGTATTGGAGCCCTGGTCATGTAGCGGATTACCCAATAGGCTGCTAACTGGAGAAAGACGAGGTTTTCCACTCTCATGAGGTCACACTCTCAGGAACCTACAGGAGCAGCTGTGCCCTGTGTGTCGGATCGCCGTGAGTCAGATGACTCGCCGGCAGTGCGTTGAGTTGGACCCCTTAGTATTCTGCCGTGGGGCTGGAATTATTCCTCCAGTCTCTCAGCGTGAGAATTTCTGAGAGTGCTCTTCCCTCTGGGGTTTCTAACTCCGGCTGTTAGCATATTTCCGTGCAGCACTTCACTTTGTGCTCTTGAGCTGCCTTTTGACATCTTCCGCTCAGTAATTTTAGTTCATCGTTTCTCCCATTCACTCTAGATATTCTGTGTCCACGAGCAAATGTCAGAGTCTCTTCTGACACTCCTTCTGTCCGTTGTGCCTTTCCTGTCTTTGAAGTGACCTTTACTGCCCTGGTGTCTGATGCCCTTGCAGCCACCAGTTTTCTGGTTCCCAGTGGTCAGTGGCCAGTGCATGCAGTCTGTTTCTGAGACGTTCTCTGCCCTCAAGGGAAGAGACTCCAAGTTGTACTTAGGTTCTCGTAGACTTGTTTTAATTGTCTTCAGCTTCATCTCAAACTTGTGCATAAGCAATTAATGATCTACTTTGCAGTTGATCCCTGACCTTAGTCTGCATGATGATATTGTGCTTCTCGGCCTCTCCTTCCACAGATGTAATTGATTTTATCTTTACGTATTCCACCCAGTGAAGTCCATGTGTTTCCATTTATGTTATTAAGAAAAGCTATTTCTGATCAAGTGTTTGGTCTTGCAAAACTTAATCATGCGATTCCAGGTAATGTAACTATCACCATGGCTGTATCTAACAGTCTTTCTTTCCAACTTTCCTGTTCAAATTACCAGTAAATAATAATTCATCTTAATTGTATGTTTGATCAATTTCAGGCTTCAGAAGTTAATTTTGTTAGTTTCTTCACACTTGGCATGTTTTGTGTGCATACTTGGATATGAGTCAGTTGGACTAACTGGTCTTCCTTATATGAATATTATCCCGTTACTTACAGCGATGTTCTTCAGGCTGTATCTTGACGGGTTCTTTATGACATAAGTGCACTACCATTCCTCTTCAGTTTGTCATTTCTGGCATAGCAGACCATGTAAGTGTGATATTGTGGTGTTGATAGATATATGCCCATGTACAACCACCCTTCCAGTCTAGACAGAAAACACTTCCATCTTCTTGAATGTACCTTTGTGTTCCTTCCCATGTAACCGCTCAGACCATGAGCCGCAGGCACCCATGATTGCTTTTCCATCACTCTCTTTTCTAGAGCTACACAGAAGAATGCAGGGTGAGGGGGGAGTGTGCAGTGCAGGTCCACACCGACATTTCAAAACTACTCTTAACAATTAGGAGCCCTGGTGATGCAGTGGCTAAACCACATGCCTGTAGCCTCTGGCACAGTGGTTAAAGCACTCAGCTGTTAACGGAATGGTGGGCACTTTGAACCCATAGCTGCTCCTTGGGAGAAATAGGGCACCTGCTTCCCCAGCGCTTCACAGTATGGGAAACTCCATGGGGCAGTTCTGTGCTGTCTCGGTCCCAGAGGGTCACTATGAGTTGTGACCAACTCAACAGCAACTAACGTTACCACTGCATCATGGTGATAATAGGACCTGCTCGCTCAATACATCTCAGTTTGGAGGTGGGTGGATTAAGAAGGCAAGGGTTCATGAGGGAGGGAAGGAGGGGGAGGGAGGGGAAAATGAGCTGATACCAAGGGCTTAAGTAGAAAGACAATGCTTTCAAAACGATGAGAGCAACATATGTACAAATATGCTTGAGACAATGGATGTATGTATGGATTGTGATAAGAGTTGTACGAGCCCCCAATAAAATGATTTAAAAGAAAAAAAAACAAGGCAAGGTGATTTCTGTGCAATAATAAAGGCCAATCAGTATGACTTAAAAAAGATTTTAGATCTTCCCTCATAGGTAATATATGGGTTTTTTTAATTACCTGGGGAGGGTAGCTAGCCCATGTCCTGCCTGAGCACACGGAGGGCATGCGGGGAAAGGAGTAAGCCAGAAACAACACTGGTACATCAATCTGGTTTTCATGCATCCTTCCAGGTTCTCTGGTTTGCCTCCTTTGTCTTGTTCCTATTTCCTCCATTTGTTCTGTTAGCCCAGCTTTCTAATTGCTTAGCCAAGACTGAGGTCTTACAGGTATTATCCCGAGGCTCAGCCTTCCATTTTGACTGCAGAAGTGCCCTTTTCCTGGAACAGAAAAAACCAAATATGTACGTGCTCTCTTTGTTCTCTTCCAGAAGTGGAACCTGGGCCTGGCACTGAGCTATTGACGGCAGAGCAGCAACAAGTTTGTGAAGAAGAGTCACCCCAGTGGGAGGGCATGGAAACCCTTACACGCTGTGTGTTTGAGTGTTCCCACGATAGCTGGGAGCACGGAGGCCAGCTTGACAGACAGCAGGGAACTCCAGACAGACAATTCAGTTCCATGAGGACCAGTTGTGAAGAAATGCCCCCTTTCCACCAGCAGAAATCCATTACATTTTACCAGAAAATCCACGCTGCCAAAAAACCCTTTGGATATGAGTGTGGAAGAGAATTCTGGCCAGAGGAGTTCCTTATTAACCATGAAGGGATTCATACTAATGAGAAACCTTATAAGTGTAAGGAATGTGGGAAAGCCTTTAAATATGGCTCACGCCTAATTCAGCATGAGAACACTCACTCTGGCAAGAAACCCTATGAATGTACGGAATGTGGGAAGGCCTTCAATTCTTGTTCAAATTTCATACAGCATCGGAGGGTTCACACTGGCGAGAAACCCTATCAGTGTAAGGATTGTACAAAGGCCTTTAGTCGAAGCTCTCAGCTGATAGAACACCAGCGCATTCACACGGGCGAGAAACCCTATCAGTGTAAGGACTGTGGCAAGGCCTTCAATCGGATCTCACATCTTAAAGTGCATCATAGAATCCATACTGGTGAGAAACCGTATGCATGCAAGGACTGCGGGAAGGCCTTCAGCCATCGCTCTCAGCTGACTCAACATCAGACAAGTCACACTGGCAGGAAGCTCTATGAATGTAAGGAGTGTGGGGAAGCCTTCAATCAGGGCTCAACTCTCATCCGACACCAGAGAATCCACACGGGTGAGAAGCCCTATGAATGTACGGTTTGCGGGAAGGCCTTCAGGGTGAGCTCACAACTGAAGCAACATCAGAGTATCCACACCGGGGAGAAACCTTACCAATGTAAGGTGTGCAGTAGGGCCTTCAAACGGGTGGCACATCTGACTGTACATTACAGAATCCATGCGGGTGAGAAACCATATGAATGTAAGGAGTGTGGGAAGGCCGTTAGTCACTGCTCACAGCTGATTCAACATCAGCTCATTCATCCCGTGGAAAAGCCCTATAAGGAATGTGGGAGGCCCTTACGTCATGAGGCGGCAGCCATTCAGCATCAGAGGACACGGTGTGGAGAAACGTGTGAATATCACAAATGTGGGAAAGCCATCCATCGGCCCTTATCCTTTACTGATCATCAGAGAACTTATGTTAGCAAGTACCCATATGGCTGGAAGTACAGAGAACCTATGTTAACATGCAGCCATATTAATAGAAGTAATGGGGAGAGCTCATAACCCTTAACTCCTGCATCTTGAGGAAGGACAAAGTAATGCAGGTGAGATGTTTGTTCAAAGGTTGTCTTTTACCCCGAGATGGAAAACACATATTTAAAAAAAAAGATAAATTGTTTTTGTGTATGGTTGTCAAGCAGGGAAAGGTTGGAAAATGTTTTTGTTTGTAACAAATACCAGGATCATATTTAACAACAGTGTACTTATTTTGTGTGTGTGTGTGTGTGTGTGTGTGTGTGTGTGTAAAACTAAGGGAATTTTCCCAGAACTTTATGAAGCCCACTTTTGGTTTGAAGTGAAAGTTTGCACAGTAGATCTGAGGCTTCTCTCCTTAGAAAGGCTGGGTTTTAAGTTGGCCCTTGATTGGGATTATCGTTAACCCTATAGGACAGAGCAGAAATGCCCTGTATTTTTCAAGCCTGTAATCTGTACAGAAAGACTGCCTCGTCGTTCTGCTCGGCACAGGCTGGTGGGTTCTGACTTGAACCTTTTGGGCTGTGGGCCTCGGCTGCTTCCATAGAGATAGCAGATCTGCTCTGCCCTAATAGGGTCACCATGAGACAGTCAGCAGCACACTACCTTCAGCTGTTCTAAGGTCTGGTGGGAAGGTTCGCCCCTGACTAGTATTACGGAAGCCTGTATCCTCAGAGTGGTCTTTGTTGTTGGAGGGGACAGAACGGAGGGAGGGACAAACAGACTCCACCAAGAGGCTGCGCCCTGAATTTGGACATCTAGTTACCTAAAGTGTGAGAAAATAAATTTCTATTAAGGCCACTTGTTTTATCAGGTGTAGGTAATTGGCCTGTAGGAACTTGGCTTTCAGGAGGGTTTCCATCCAAGAACTGATACCATCGACACGCTGTCTTGTTTGTGGTGTGGCTTATGCCGATCACCTGACTTCCACCTGGAGTTTCAGTGCATGCTAAGCAGAGGCTACATTGTTGGCCAAACCCCAGTAAACCTCTAGGCACTTGGGGTGTGATGGATTTAAGATGATCCTCCTAGCCGTAGTTCAAGGAGCCCTGGTGGTATAGTGGTTACGAGTTGGGCTGGAAACTGCAAGATCCTGTAGTCTTGGAAACCCATGAATCATTCATGCTAATGGGACAGGGTTGGAGCGGGAGGTATCTTGAGATGAAGCCTCACCAGAGGGCTATTCAAGTCACTACACCATTTCCTTGGGAGTAGGCAGAGGTCTCTCGCCCTTGATCTGCATCCTGCATCTGGCTTGTCTTCATCTGACCTTCAGTTCTTAGGACCTGATTTGCTGGCTACCAGTCTTGTGAGCCTGGAACCCCTTCTCTGACCTGCCAATTTGACTTCCACCTGGACCGTGTGGGTCAGGAGAGGCACGTGATAGGGTCGTGACTATGCGTCTCCTGAGCTGGCTTGACTTACTCTGAGCTCTCCTTCAGGAAAGCAATCCACTATCCGTATCAGCAGGGAGTGGGCCCCACTATGGCAGGACAGAGTCTGTCCAATAGGCAACAGAGCAACGGTTCTCAACCTGTGGGTTGCAACCCCTTTGGGGGCCAAACGACCCTTTCACAGGGGTCGCCTAAGACCATTGGAAAACATTATTTCCCATGGTCTTAGGAACCAAGACACCGCTCCTCTATCTGTCTGCAGGCAGGTCTGCCCACATGCAGATACGCTTATGAACAAGTACCCAGCGTGAAGACTGTTTACCCATGCTACACCATGCTTCGAGACAAAATTTCATTGATTTGTCATCAGAAATAAATATTTCACAATATATAATGACATATTGTTTTGTGATTCATCACTATGCTTTAATTATGTTCAATTTGTAACCATGAAAATACATCCTGCAGATCAGATATTTACATGATGATTCATAACAGTAGCAAAATGACAGTTATGAAGTAGCAACAAAAATAATTTTATGGTTGGGGGTCAGCATCACATGAGGAAATGAATTAAAGGGTCGCGGCATTCAGAAGATTGAGAACCTCTGCAATAGCGTCTGATTGCTCTATATGGCTGGATGCCTTCAGGGAGAAAACTAAGCAGCTGACCTCCCACCGTGCGCTCGCAAGCAGTGTCTTAGGTTTGGCATATGTTTGGGGGCGACAACCTGGGGAAAACCCTTTTGCATCCCACATGCAGCTACCTTCTCTCCAACAGAGCAGAACACTACCGGCCCGGTGCCATGTTCACAATCCTTGCTGTGTCTGAGCTCGTGGTCGCAGCTCCTGCGTCAGTCCATCTCCTGGAAGGTCATCCCTTTATCGCTGAGCTGCCTTGCCGAGAACGACGTGCTTTTCCAAGGACCAATCTCTCCTGAGAACATGTCCAGAGTAGGTGAGACAACCGCCCCATCCTTCCTTCTGGCTGTACTTCTTCAAAGACCGATCTGTGCGTTCTTTTGGTGTGGGAGGCACAGTCAAAATTCTTTGCCAACACCATAAGTCAAATGTGCCCATTCTTTGCGGTCTTCCTTATGAACTGTCCGGCTTTCACATGCATATGGTGTGATTAAAGAAACAAGACTACGGCTTCGATCAGGCACCTCTTGGTCTTCAAGGTGGCATCCTGGCCCTTCGACACTCTAAAGAGGTCTTGTGCAGCGAATTCACCCGATGCAACATGTCACTTGATGTCTTGACTGCTATTTGCATGAGCATCTGTCATGGATCTAAGAAAATTAATCCCTGACGACTTCAGTCTTTTCTCCGTTTATGGTCCTGTCTAGCGGTCCAACTCCGAGGACTTGGCTTCTCCTTACTCTGAGTCATCCTCCAGACAGTCCCTGATCTTCGTCAGCAAGGGCTGCGAGTTTCCCTGGCTCAGCAAGCAAGGTTGCGTCGCCTGCCTATGGCAGGTCGTTCTGAAGCCTTCATCCAAACCTAACGCTGTGTTCCTTTTTTTTTAGGCATTGGGGTTGGTAACCACAAGGTCAGGAGTTCAATCTTACCAACTGCTCTGCAGGACAAAGATGAGGCTGGCCACTCCTGTAATGATTTGCAATCTTGGTCACTGTTTGGGTGGTTGTTTTGCAGTAAGGTCATGGTTCGGAATTGACTTGATGGCAGGGGGTTGGTTGGTAGCGCAATGTAAGATGGAAATTATGCCGAGTGTGGAGAGAAGCATCGTTGGGTGCTCATTATGTGTTTTTTGCCTATATCCAGAGAAGGTATATACACAGGTGGGCCGTCAGAGATGCCTGTGCCTCACTACACTGTGGGATCATGAGTATCTGTTAGTGCAGGAAAACAGGTGAGCTCCTGTGGATGGAGCAGGGCCCAACCCATGGGAAAGAGGCTGGCAGAAGGTCAAGTCCTGTGCAGAAATAGCTAGTTTCCTACTGGGGCAGCCACTGAGAGGACCAGGGCCAGGGCCAGGTGGACATGGGAGAAGGTGGGGAGTGTGGCAAGAAGGCTACGAAGGCTCCCAGTGCGATTAGCACCTAGACTCGTTGACAGCAAGCAGGTAAGGTAAGGTGAGGGGGACCAGCCAAATATTGGAAGCAAACATGGACCACAGGGCTTCAGCACTCAGAATTGCTCCTCCATGTTCAGATGGTGGTGACTACTAAACGGTGCTCCTCAGGTTAGTCAGACTCATTCAGAACCTGGGACAGCGCTGAACACACAGGCTGAAGGGCGTCAGAGGCAGAGAGCCACATCTTTCTCCCATGGGGCTACTGGGGTGATGTAGAGCTGTGAGTGACAGAGATAGGGAACGGTGTGACCAGGAATTGCTGCCTTAACATGCCATCCAGCCAGTACCAGCTGGGGACAGAGCCCTGAGCAAGGTGGGGACTCTTTCCTTCAGGAGTTCAGAGTCTCCTATAGGAGACAAGCAAGGAACAACCATGACCCTATGGAGTTAGCACTGGTGCTGGGACCGGCCCAGAATGCAGTGCAAAGGGTGAAGCAGCCCTGTGGCATCCTTGTGGCTGGATATATCTTGTCACAGAGCAGAAGGGAGAAGGTGAAATCCAGGGTCATGATGAAGTATGTCCTCTCTGAGAGTAACAGGACTGCATGGCTGGAGGAGGAGGAGCAGAGACCTGGGCTGTGCTGGGGGTGGGGTGGGGGGGTACAGTGCAGAGCCTAGCCTCTGGAGGGCTTTTGTCCTGAGGAAAAACAATGGCCCTGAGCTGGTCTAGGTAGAGGCATAGCACGCCCCCATTCACGTTTTAAATCCCTGTGATTAGACGGGGAAGGGTGCGTTGCTGGGAGGCAGGAGGAGAGTGAGGATGCCGGGACAAGGGAAGTGGGAATAGAGAGCTAGGTGAGGCGCCTGTGGACAGTGGGAGAGAGTGGGGAAAGCGGTGGGTGTTGTGATGCTCAGCTCAGCCTGGGCATCTGGATGGACCGGACCGTTGATGTCCTTCCCAGGAGGAGGCCAGGGGGAGAAGCAGCCTGCAAAACCAGGCCTTAGGACCGAGCACGGTGTCCACGGCTGCACTCTCGCTGGAGGGAGGCAGACTGCTGCATCTTTCTCCCCCGGAGCAACTGGTGAGGTGGAGCTGCAGGCCTTCGGGGAGCCGGCCAGAGCTCTGGCCACTTGTGCCACAGCCGCTTCCAGGGAGGGTGGAATGTGCGTGTGCGAGTGAGGATTGCCATGGTACAGACATCCATTGGAGTCCATGGGTCGTGCCAACGCGTGATCTAGTCACTGAAAGCTTGGCAGTTCTAATCCACCCAAAGGTGCCAAGTGATGTACTGGCAGAAGGTCGCAGCTACTGCAGCCCCTGTGCACACGCTGGGGGTCACCATGCGTCAGCATGCACTCCATAGGAAAAGCGTTGTTCTTTTTCTGATGCCCTTTAAGTAGCCAAGTCAGAGATGCCAACGGGGAAGGCAGTCAATCGGCATCTTAATTCCTGCACCCAGACTCCAAGGCATTCAGAGCTATATCGTGATACCTTATTTAGCACTTACCCTTAACGACGCATTTGCTTCTTTCTGTTTGCTTGAAGAATGTTGTTTCAACCCCTTGACCATCTAAGGAGGGACACGGGTCTATTATGCCGAGTTTGTCGTAGAAGAAAGGGATGCTTAGAGAGGTGGTGGTATCGTCATCCTTGTCCATCGACATTCAGCCCAGCCATCTTTGAGCATGGCAGCTTTCCATGCAGGGCTAATGCTGGGCTCTTCAAACAGGCTAGCTTCTCGGATCATTTGCTCTGTATTCAGATTGAATCAGTAAGGTGAAAGGATACATCCCAGGCACACACCTTTCCTGATTTTAATTCGAGCTCTATGCCCTTATTCTGGTGTGAGGACATACTTTTTATAGTTTCAATCTTTTAAAAGTGATCAACACTTGCTTTTGCAAATGGGGAGCTGATATCGGGCTCCAGTGGGAAGAGAACGGTTGGAAAATGATGATGGCAGCGTAGGTGCAAATGTGCCTGACACACTGGATGACTGTATGGATGGTGATAAGAGATGTAAGAGTCCCCAATAAAAGTATTTTTTTAAAAGACTTGCTTTTGCTTTGTACCCTAATCTTTGAGGAGTTTTGTTTTTGGTTTAGGGTCTAGGAGTGTTGGCGTATTCTTATTAGGAGGTCAGGCATTCGTCTCTGAAGAGCTGACAGCCCAGAGGAATGCTCTGGGAGGAGACTGTTTCAGACACCAAACAGTCAAGTACAAAGGCAGGTACAAAACCAGGACGGTGTGTAAGGCGAACTATTAGCATGAGGGAGGCCTGTACTCTTAGGACAATCAGCCAGAAGTCACAAAAGCGCCCTGAAACAAGAAGAGATTGGAACAGGGGGTGGGGGGGGTGAAGCGTAGCCAGGGAAGGAAGGCGGTGAAGAGTACTATTCCACCTGTTCTATTCCGGGGATGGCAACCAATGTCACAAAGCCAAATGTGTCCGAATTGAATGGAAAACCAATTTGCTCTGAGAACTCACCCACACCGGTGAGTATTAAATGGTATTAAATTGAATACAAAATACAAGCTGTTAAAAAAAATCAGCTTGGAAGGAAGGAAAAGAGTGGACTCCGACCTAGACACATTAAGGTCATAAAAGGGTCCAATGCTGCCTCCTCCCGCCGGCTCTTGGGCTTTGTGGGTCGCCCTCGGTTGGTGCGTGCGGAAGCTTGGCACCTGTAATCCAAGCACCTGAACACCACAAACGTCAGCTTCAGCCCCGCCCCTGCCGTAGGCTCCGCCCCCTCGCTTTAAGCACGCCTCCGCCCTCCAAGCTGGGTGTCGCTTCCCAAAAGCTTCTGGGGCGCGGTCCGCTAGGTTGGGAAGGCCTCTGCTAACAGCTAGGTCCCCCATGGTCATCGAGAGCAGGACGGGAGGCCGCGATCCTCTCAGACCGAGGGCGACTGCCTGGGGCGGAGAGGACCTGTCTAGCCCCGCGAGCCTGTCTGTTTGGAACTACGTTTCCCAGGGGCCATTGCGGCGGACGGAGCACGCTCACTTCCGGCGGACGTTCGGCGTCCCCGATTGGTTCCGAGGCGGGGGCGGGGGCGGGGCCCGGTGGAGGGACGGACCCTGAGAAGAGGGCGGTGTGCGGTCGGGAGGCCGGCCGCCAGGCGAGCCCAGGGCGTGACTGAGCGCCGGGGAGGGCGTGACCGGGACAGCGTCCGTGCGACCCCGGGAGCGAGAGAGTAGCATGGGGACCGTGAGAGCGGGCGCGCGCGCCCATGGGCACGACCCCCTCCCGGGCCGCCGCTGCAAGCCGAGGGTCGGCCGAGGGCCCTCCGCCGGGAGGACGCCTGCGGCCTCCGCCAGACGTGCTCGGGGAAGGCCGAGCCGCGGGAACGGCCTCGCAGCCAAGGGCCAGCGAGGGGCAGTGACCTCGGGCCCCGAGAGGAGAGGTGAGGGCCGAGTGAGCAGGGAAGAATTCAGGTCGGGGCGGAGGGCGGGGACGGCGGGGTCTTGGGCGGCCTCTGAGCGCCCAAGTGATGGGCAGCGGTGTCTTTGGTCCTCAAGGTTGGTGGCAGGGGGCGTGTACGCGTTTGGAAGCTCCGCCTTCCCGTTCTTGGGTCTGCCAGGTGAGCGTTTGGAAGCTCCGCCTTCCCGTTCTTGGGTCTGCCAGGTGAGCGGAACGGGCTGCCCCGACGTTGGGAGCCTCAGAGGTGCCCGCAGGGGGTCCGTGCCTTTCTCGGGGTGTCCAGGCTGGCGGATCCGGGAACCCAAAAGTTTGGAAGCACAGGCTTGAGCCAAGCCTCCAGCAGCGGTGTTGGGGAGAACCGTGACCTTCTCGGGTCTTCAAGGCTTGTGGAAATGGAGAATCCAAACCTCGGCCTTGACGTTCTCCAGTGGTGTGGAAAGGCTGGCGAATGGAGAATTCAAATGGTGTGAAGAGCCGCAAAGGTGCCGGGAGGGACCTTGACTTACCCAGGGCCACCCTAACCAGAAATACATACATACATAAATAAGATAAACCTAGCCTGTGGGCGACACCTTGTGTTAACTGAGAACTGCTTCATAGGGTCTTCTTGGTCATCCGCACCCACCCACACCTCCGCAGGAGGAAAAAGGCTGCATGGTTTGCTTCTGTCTGAAGATTATAGCCTCGGAAACCCACAGGACTGTTCGACGCCTTCACAGGGAATTGATATGAATCAGAACGCTTCAGGGATCAGGGCATTCTGTTTGGAAGCAGATGGACAAGCTTTTCTTCCGCAGTGCCTCTGTCAACCAAATCGTCAACCATTGGATTGCTTGTTGGTTTGAGGCTAGTTGATTTAGAGCACACAGCAGCTCTGAGGTGTACACCATCTAGTTGATTTAGAGCACACGGCCATTCTGAGCTGTACACCATCTAGTTGATTTAGAGCACATAGCCATTCTGAGTCATCGTGAAACACAAAAGTTTTCACCACCCAGGGACCTGCCACCCTTCTTCCAAGTTCTCCAAGGAATGAAAAGCCCCCCATCGCTCCGTCCCTAAGTGAAAGAAACAAAGCCCCACTGTCATGGAGTTGATACTGATCACCCTCTAGGACAGTGGTTCTCAACCTTCCTAATGCCTAGAGCCTTTAATACAGTTCCTCATGTTGTGGTGAGCCTCCCAACCATAAGATTGTTTTTGTGGCTGCTGCATAACTCTCATTCTGCTACTGTTAAAAATTGGGTAACTCCTGTGAAAGGGTCGTTCGACCCCCAAAGGGGTCTCGACCCACACGTTGGAACCACTGTTCTAGGAGGAAGGTTTAACCATTTCCCAGCTGTCGTGCCTTTCTGCTGGTGCCTGAGCATCTGACCACCCGCTTGTGGGAGCCCTTTCTGATGCGTGGCTGTGGCTTAAGAAGAAGCAGGCAGGGAGCATGTTGTACGCCTGGTTTCTAGCTACTCCTTTCTCCTCCCTCAGCTCCTCTTTCCAGGGACACTGCCCTTCAACAAGGGAGGCGCTGCAAGCAGGCGGCAGCTGGGGTGGGAA